ATAAACTGATGCAATGCTGACCTGAATTGGGCAATGCTGAATAGGGCAATCCTTCTAGGTTGGATTGGGCAATGCTGACCTGGTAGAAGTGATCAAACCTTAAATGGAGGTAACAAAATAAACTGATGCAAAGAAAGAGGTAACATCAGTAGGCCAACATATATGCAAATGCATGTTTCACAAGTTGCACTTTTAAGACATTAGACTACTAAGAAAGACTAGGAAAAAATAAAGAAAAGATCATCAATTTTTTTATTGAAACACAACAAATAAGGGAATAGAATTCTTTAGAATTGCAAAATCAGATGGACTCTGGCTTAAGTTGAAAGAGGTTCTTGGTCATACTGAATAGGCTTTGCATACATACAAGTGATTCGGGTAAAACCTAGTACAATCTTTCCTAGTAACTGGATGCAAACTCAAACAAGTCCTTTAGATCAATTATTTTAAAACATGGAGGCAAGATGCAAGATGTTCTACCATGCTAAGGCATGAGGTGTAAGCCTCTCAGGCATGGAGTTTTTAATTAATAGATAATTAAAAATAAAATCAAATAAATAAAAAAGTAAATATCCAAAGAATAGTAAAATTTATGAGAAATTAGAAAGTTTCATATTTGCAATTTCTAATAATAAAACCATCACATCTAAATATAGAATTGAAGCATTTGTATGCAGCTAACTTTTTCCCACATCAAGTGGTCTAGCCTTCTCTTCCAACATCTTTTTTCCACCAAGAAATAAAATCCCCATTATTTTTAGGGGGACTTAACCATATCTACACATAGAATGGCAATAGGGAGAGATTAATTTGAACACCCCTGTTAACTAAGTTCAATTTTGTAGGTAATTTATCTAAAATCAAAAACCAAAGATATACTTTTATTTTTTCTGGACATCATAAGCTCCAGGGTTTCTTTAGTTGTTTTATCAGATCACCATTTTGTACTACTTAGCAGTACAAATAATATTTATACTAAAATTTCTAATCAGGAGCAAGTGGGTGGCTCCTAAAAAAAACAGAAAACAAAAAGAAAAACAGAAGCTTGTGTTTGGGGGCTTATGCAACGAGATAAGATAAAAAATAGAAAAACAAGTTCTTCAAGAACTATTACAAGAAGAATGCCCAAATGTGAGATAGATTCGATTTCGCAATGACAAAAATATGTTCTTCTCTAAAACCCAAAGAAGCAAAATGATACCCAATAGAGAAAGAAGATAAAAAATAGAAAAAACAAAAAAAAAAAAACCTATACTGAGAATGCCCAAATGTGAAGGATTCGATTTTGAGAGGAGATTAATAGTTGAATCCGTAACAAGAAGCTTCTTCGGTGGAGATTGTTCACCAGAGAGAGTTCGACTGAGTTCTTCCTTGAGAGAGTTGAATCGGCAGGCTGAGTTCTTCCTTGAGAGAGTTGAATCAGTGTGGTGGTAGACTTTGATTCTGAGAAAGTTGAATCGGCAGAGAGAAGTTAAGGTGCGGCTGAGTTCTTGTTCGTTCTAGAATGAAAATGAGCAGGTAGAGAGAAAAGGCGCGCGGGAGGAAGAAAATTGCATCCCCACCTTTTTTCTTTCCTCTCATGATTAGATTTTTCATTTGCATTCTCAACTATTGATTTTAATTCAAATCAATGGTTCAAAAAAATGATATATCTTAAAAGTTTGAAATTACATTAGTTGAGTTTTAAAAGTGTTTTTAATGGCAAGTTCATAAAAGCCACTTAAAACAAAGATATAGTGGCGTTTTATACATGCATTTTATGGCAATTTAAAATCAGCCGGTAAAAAAAATATATTTAGTGGCGATTTTTCTGCATATATAATGGCAATTCTTAAAATTGCCACTAAAACTAATGTTTAGTGGCACTTAAATAAATGCTACTATAGAAAACGCCTCTAAATAATGATTTTCTTGTAATGTCTATTGAAACGTACCAACCTTGATGGTGCCAAGCCAGTATCCACCCCAATGGCAGCCTTTTGCAAGCTTTCCAAGCTTTCTGGATATCCTTTACCTGACCCAACAGAATATAGGAGTGTCGTGGGAGCTCTCCAATACATCACAATTACACGGTGGTCTTTTGTTCTCTTCTTCTACTTCTCTTACACTCACTGCCTACTCTGACGCCGATTGAGCTGATTGCTCTGATGACAGACGGTCCACTAGTGGATATAGCATTTTCCTAGGTTCCCATCTTGTTACTTGGAGTTCCAAGAAGCAGCCACCTGTAGCTCGTTCTAGCATCAAAACAGAATTCTGTGCCCTTGCCACTGTCACTACCGAACTGTTGTGGTTGAAGTCATTACTCTCAGACTTGGGCTGTACTCTACCCTCTCCTCCTAGAGTTTCCTGCGATAATATGGGAGCAATCTATATCAGCACACACCCAGTTTTCAAAGCTCGAAGTCGCCATGTTGAAGTTGATTTTTACTTTTCAAGGGATCTTATTCTCAGTAAGCAATTGGATATTCGGTATTTGCCTACAGAACATCAGCTAGCTGATTTGCTTACAAAGCCATTAGCACCTCAACAGTTTCTCCTTCTTAAATCCAATCTGCCTGTTCGTGACGCCCAACTCAGCTTGAAGGGGCGTATAGAAGAGTCCAAGTCCACTCAGCTACTATGACACTTATCACATATTATCTACACCGTAGCACACTCCCACTTGTTATATACCTTCTTATCACTTATCTCTTTGTAAACTTAACTTTAGGATTTTTTTGTAAATTACAAACCCTATGAGTTATTATAAATACATCAACCAGCCGAACCGTAAGAACATATAGGCTTTTCTTCAAACTATCTGTTTGTTGTTTTACAATGCCAGTAAAAATTAAATCATGGGCCTCACCGTATAAGTTGTGAGTTCCATATAATTTTATTACTGGCGTAAAATATGATCGTTGATTGCACATCCTGCGTTCAGCTAATCCTAGCTCTGTTATCACACCCCTAGGTTGGCCCTTTACTTCGGGCCGCGCCAACTCTATATAAATTATAGTTGTTCAATGAAAATTTTATCGCTTCAAGAAAAAAAAGCTAATTAATCACGTCTATTCATGTGCACATCATCTTCATGTAAGTTATAACGTGGCTAGATATACCTCCCCCTTTTCCGCTACAAGACGACAACACACCACCTATCTCTTCTCTCATTGCCGTAGTGTTACGGTTCAGCACAGGCTTAGCCTTGCCTACGCTTGGCAAGCTTACGTTAGGGACATGCCCGTCATTTTCGCCTGTAAGATTTTTGGGAGAACTGATGTCATCTTCAGGCAGACCACCA